ATGACGTCCGCTGGCGCATCAGAAACACGTCGGATAGTGAAAGTGCAGTCGGATTCTCAAAGCACCGCAGTCTCCACTATCCCTTATCCCCATGACGTTTCACTCAGAGGTCAAGGAATCTACGATAGGGATAGACGGTAGGGATAGACGGTAGGGATAGACGATAGGGATAGACGATAGGGATAGACCATAGGGATAGACGATAGGGATAGACCATAGGGATAGACGATAGGGATAGACCATAGGGATAGACCATAGGGATAGACCATAGGAATATACGATAGGGATAGACGGTAGGGATAGACGGTAGGGATAGACGATAGGGATAGACGATAGGGATAGACCATAGGGATAGACCATAGGAATATACGATAGGGATAGACGGTAGGGATAGACCATAGGGATAGACCATAGGGATAGACCATAGGGATAGACCATAGGGATAGACCATAGGGATAGACCATAGGGATAGACCATAGGGATAGACCATAGGGATAGACCGTAGGGATTGACCGTAGGGATAGACGGTAGGTATAGACGATAGGGGTAGACGATAGGTATAGACGATAGGTATAGACGATAGGGATAGACGATAGGAATAGACGATAGGAATAGACGATAGGGATAGACGATAGGATAGACGATAGGGATAGACGATAGGAATAGACGATAGGAATAGACGATAGGATAGACGATAGGGATAGACGATAGGATAGACGATAGGATAGACGATAGGATAGACGATAGGAACAGACGATAGGAACAGACGATAGGGATAGACGATAGGGATAGACGATAGGAGCTGATTTTTGGACTATTCGACCGCAACCTAAGAGCCTCAAGGTCGGATTAACAGCCATTACTTGCACTGAAAATCCAAAATCTCTGGTCTATTTTTGAGAGTTTCATCTGTTATTGGTCTGAAAAGAGTTCCTTCCCAACGGTGATGCTGCCCAGAAAAATACCGCAAGTCTGCAGAGAGCCTTAAAAACACTTAATATGATTATTATTAGAAACGTTTTTATTAATAAAAGTAAAAAGAGGAGGTGTGATGAAGGTATTAAAGGTGAAATATTGTCACATCATGTTATATCACCTCCACCATTAACCATTAACCCTTCATGCAGGCTTGATTAAATCACAAAGTCATATAGTATTTTTCGGTTTCTATCATTTTAAGGAGTTATGCATCTTCACTCTGCAGAGGACAGCATGCATCAAAGGTATAAAAGGCATTTAATTAACACATAATAACTTTGAATGACTTCCAATCACTGGGTTATAATTTGATGCCATGTCAAAAAGCTCACGTTTGTCCCTGAAACCGTCACAAATGCTGTAGTTCAGGGGTTTTCAAAGTGTGGGAAGGTGAGCCTCCCCTCAGAGAACAGCTGCGCCCCCTCCGGGGTATTCAATTGCATTTCAAAGAGGTCCAGTAAGAGAACATGTAATTAAATGCTCTGTTTTCGCTGTCTACCTTCCGCCATTTGAAATGACTCCGAGTGTTTCTCTCCTCTTGTCTCGTCTCTGTGTGTGTGTGTGTGTGTGTGTGTGTGTGTGTGTGTGTGTGTTTGAATCTATCGTGCTGACTCACCGACTGCACCCAATTGATTGGCTGAGTAACGTCACCTCCTTAAAACATTAAACAATAACTTTTTAAAACCTTTTTATCTTTATGTTTTAAACTTTTTTAACATTTTCAACATCGTGGATGAATCCTTATATGCTCCCGGCAACACACTGAACGTCAATTTTGCCTCCTTATTAGACTCAGCCCTACTTTAGTGGGAACAATGAGTCTGCGTCTTTGAAGCACACAGGAATAAACGCAGATCATCCTCTGGCTGCAGCCTTGACCGGCACTTGCTTTTGATCAAAGTCAATGCGGAAAACCCGCACTCACACAGGTAGGTGGAGGTGAAGGGAATGAGCACTTTGACAGCCTTTTTGGCGAGGTGGGGGACCTCAGTCTCCACAGACAGCCACAAGTGTGCAAGTGACACTTTACTCGTCTTTTTCTCGTTATTTCTTTCTCGCTGCTGCGCCTCCCCTGAAGCTCTCTGGCGCCCCTCCCCAGGGAGGCGCGCCTCACACTTTGAAAACCGCTGCTGTAGTTGAACAAAGCAATGTGCATATGGCATTTAAAACTCCAAAGGATGCACATTAAAGCTGCAGCGATTACTCTGAACTGAATATTGACAGGATTCATCTACATTTTGTCTAGAAAGATGTGCCTAATATCTGTCAGTTCTAGTTCCTTAAATGTACATTTTACATTTAAAAGTGAAACAATACCTTTTGGTTTTATCAGACGAAAAGGACATGACGTTTAATGACATCATCTTTGGTTTTAGGAAACTGTGATATGCATGTTTACTCTTCGTTCTCATGATTTATACACTTCATAAATGCACAGGAAAAAGTAACAAATAATTGTAGTTGCAACTAGGGATGAGAAATAAACAGATGTTATCTTGCAGTGCCAAAACGCACACCCATTAATGGTGAATTCCCATCATCAGGAGTGACTTTGAAGCTGTTTTAGTGACTGTTATGGTAGAAACTATAATAAAGACTGATTTAATAAAAACAAACTGGATTTATCTTGTAAGACAGAAGACGACCTCAAACCACATTTTAGTTTGGGCTAATAACGACTGTAACAGTGGCGGTTCTAGACCAATTTGACTGGGGGGGCCACTGGGGGGCCAGTTATTTTCTGAGGGGGGCACAATAAATGCAGGACGAAAAAGAGAACTAGACAGTATGAAGTAATTGCGCATAAGAAAACAATGCAATACAGTTATTGGTATTTGTTTCAGTACACTTATTTATTTCAGATAGATCTTATAGTTATTACTGTTAGCTTCAGCTTAAGTTATAGTGCAATGTTTGCACTCACACCATATTTATATAAAAATAAAGGCAATGAACAGTTACATCTCTACTTTACATAAGGGTGTCTGCACAATCTCACATTACAGCAACAACATCCTGAGTACCAGAAAATATACATTTAAAAAAACCAAAAAAACAACTTGTCATTGTTAGGGGGGCCACAGGGAGGTCAGAGGTCAGTGTTAGGGGGCACTGGCCCCCCCTAGAACCGCCCCTGGACTGTAAGGTGTTATTTTGAGTCTGTTGGTGTTTATCTACACCTGGATAAAGTCAGTATTGTGTCAGCGCGCTCTGAAGATCTAATTACATTTTGGTTCAATCATTGTTTCAGTGTTTGCATAATTCTCTCTGTTAGCGTAGCGCACGATGCTAAACACATGCTGCTGCTGCTGTTTCAGGGTTTTAGCAACAGTCCTCAGGAAACACCAGGGTCTCTGTTCCCGGTATCATGTTTATGGGCTTTAGGATATGAGTCTGTTCATATGTGAGAAGATGCTCAGAGTCAGGACGATGTTCCTCCTCCATGAAGAAAATAATGAAACGTTCCTCCAGAAACCACCAGTTCTCTTTCTCTGTGACTCTGAGCCACAGTCTCTTTAGAAAACGTAATCAAGACGAAGCTTTCCACACATTTGTTTCCAAGGAAAGAGATGGTGTAAGGTTTCCTGAGAGTTATAATCAGATCCAGCTCTGCTAAGTGTTTTTGATTCCTCCTGCAGAGGTAAATGAGGAGAAGAGGACCCAGCATTGATGTAGCATGATGCTAACGTGCTATGCTACGCTACTGCTGCACATTGTGTAGAAACGTCATCATGATTTGGATTTAAGTATGATGTAAGTATGATTTCTCTTCGGGGTCACGGCTATGTCTCTGTGCAGGTGTGTATTACAAAGTAAATATCGAGAATGCTGCTTTTTTGTGAAGCAAGATGAAGAAAGTAGTCCCTTGTAAACACGTTGACACTGTTCGGGTGAGTATAAGATGATGGTATTCATGTATCTGTTAACACTTTTTTAGAAAACTGAACTTGTATAGACATTTTCTGTCTCAAAATATATTTAGATTTCTATATATAAGTTTGAATTAATTTACAATTATATTTAAGTGTTTGCCTGGGCAATTCAAACGTATGAATCTGTCCAGTAATTCAAAAATGAAGCCTTTAATTATTAATACATAATACATTTTTTTTTTTACATGTTTATTGATTTTATTTGAGGTACTACTTGATGCATATGCTTCTAATTAGTTGAATAAACAAATTAGGGCTGCAACTAATGATTTATTATATGATTGCATGGGTTTAATCCACTCATTTTAAGATCGGAAAATGTCTGGAAATAGTCAACAAAACAACAAACAAAGCCCACATATTGTTTGTTGTTCTTTCCATTGTAAATCTGAATCTGCATTTATCAAACACATACAGTTTAGTGGAATAACAAGTACAATATATGGCTCTGAAACATTGTGTAGTAGAACAGAGATGTAAGTACTCAGACCATGTAAACGTTGTATACCACAGATAAATAATACTCTTTCTCCACTAACAAGTAGCATCAAGTACCACAACTAAAAATACTCTGGCCATTTTTAGTTACTTGCACATCTCCAAACATTCTCTTGCACTATTTGATCTGTTTTATTCGTTCTATGTCCTATATATATATTCATGTTGCTCTGTTGGAGGAGGACTTCAGTTTTTCATCTTCACATCTACAATTCAAATGTTTTAATATGCACATCAGCTACAGTGTAGAAAAGGCGATGACATTCTTCTGACCTGAGCTCCTCCAACAATGCATAATAAAATACAAATAGTGTAAGAAGTCTGTATACATGTAAGTAGAATATGATATGTACAAGAACATAATGTGACATTTAATAATATACATTAAGACAACATTAAATACGTTTTATTGCAGCGATAACTATTTATATAAATAAGTAGATCGGCACTTTACAGAGCTCAGCTGTTTGATAGTCTTATTGCCTGTGAGGTCAAACAGCTGCAGCTGCTGTGCACATGACAATAAAGCTTTGAAACTTGAAACTTGAGTTAGAGTTAATTGACTGTTTCGGGGGGCTTATCATCACTCACCCAGCAGCCCCTCAAACTGCTCTATGGCCAGCACCGCGTTGTCCTGCGTGCTGTGGTGGAGGTGGTTCGGCATCTTGGTCATGTTCCACGGCATGGACCAGCACAGCGGGATCCGCACCGGCTCACAGGAGGCGGCCCGGACCTCCACAGCCGGGAACAGAACGAGGCAGGCGGCCAGCAGAGAGACGCAGAGCCCCGGGGAGAGCATGGCGGGGCGGAGGCGCGGAGGGATATATAGATCCAGATAAAACTCCTGCGGAGGGACTGAAGCTGGAGTGGAGGAGCGGCTCTCTTATGAAGGCTTTCACCTCCTCCTTCCTTCTTCCTCCTCCTCCTTCCTCCTCCTCCTCCTTCCTCCTCCTCTTCCTCATCTTCCTCCTTCCTCTATCCCTCCTTCTCTCACATCCTCTATCCCTTCTTCCTCCATGAAATCAGTGATCAGTACTGTGGTTGGGGTACCAGGAAAAATACTTAAGTAGAAAGTAACTAAGTACATGAACTTAAGTAAAGCTAGAGTACTTAGGTGCAATGTTGAGGTACGAGGAGATTCAGACAACATGACATAAACACATGTGAACATTTGGACGGTTTTTTGTCATCCGTGATTATAAAGTGAATATTTTTGGGAAAGTAAACATTCAAAGTAAGTAACTAAAGTAACTAAGTACATGCACTCAAGTACTGTACAACTTTTAACCACTTGATCATTCCCATTTCCTGCTGCTTCATATCAACATTCAGAGGTACATTTTGTACTTTTTACTACATGCATTTAATACCTTGTTACAATGCAGATTCAAACACACATACATTAGACTTTAGTGCATCGATAATTATAATAAAACTAATATGTATCATCCTTAAAAGATTGTCTTCTGCATTATAAGTACTTTTACTTAAGTACATTTTGATGAAAGTACTTTAAGACGTTCTAAGTAACATTTTGAATGCAGGGTTAAGAAGAAACACTGCATCCAGTTTCTGCTAAATGTACTTCACCACTTCTCTCACGACAGGTGGTCATGTGATACTTCTGATTGTTTTACTGAAGTGGGATCTCGTATCCGGGGAACCCCCCAAAATATGAATGTTACTTTAGTCCCATGCTCTTAAAGACTATCATGACTGACTGCATGATATAGTTGAAGAAAAAGACACTTAATACAAAATAAAGACACTAAATACAAATAAAAGACACTTAATACACGCGATGTTAACCTTTTCCCACAATCTCCTGATAAAAGGTTTTTCTAAAGTGATCTCAACATTTCCACTTAGATATTTGCCCAAAATGTGTCCATACCATAATAAGTACACACTTATTACCTTAACATGTAATTAAAGTGTAAATTAAAAGCATAAAGAAGACATTTTTTTCACTTTGATTGCTTATAAAAGTGGGATTTATTATTTGATCTAAAAACTTAGAAACTGTTCTGTTAGGATTTCTCTCAAATATATCTTTGCAAAATGTCAAGACTTTATAACGATCAGAAGTATGACACTGCAAACTGTGTGTGTGTGCGTGTGTGTGTGTGTGAGCAGTAATGGTTGTCAGATGTTGGGGGAGCTTCCCATGTTCAGGTTGAGTTACAGCCAACACACACACACACGCACGCACACACACACACACACACACACACACACACACACACACACACACACACACACACACACACACACACACACACACACACACACACACACACACACACACACACACACACAGAGTTCTGATTCAGCACTTTCCCGTTTCTTTTGTTCTCATGATTTCATCTCCTTCCCTTTTTGACATGAAGCCACTTCTGATCAGAGGAACTTTTTTCATCTCATAATCTCTCCTTGCTTCCCTCCTTCCTCTAATCCCCCTTTTCTCTTTGATTCCTTTCCTTTTCCTCTCCCCTTTCCTCTTTCTCCTTGTTTCCTTTCCTCTCATCCCCCTTTTCTCTTTGTTTCCTTTCCTCTCATCCCCTCTTATCATCTCTTATTTCCTCTTGTTTCCTTTTCGTGTCTCTCATCTCCTCTTTGTCCTTGCTTTCCTTCCTAATGCTTCTTTTATTATGTCTCCCTGCTTCCTTTCCTATCGTCTCTTTTTGTCTTTGTTTCCTTTCATATTCTTTCCTCTTCTCTTGCTTTCTCCTCTCCTCTGTGTCCTTGTTTCCTTTCCTATCATCTCCTCCTTTCTCCCGTTTTGTTTCCTTTTCTCTCATCTCATGTCCTCTTGTCTCGTTACTCCTTTTTACTAACTCTCCTCTTCTCTCAAAACACACTTTGGCAGAAACCTGACCTATGTGTGTGTGTGTGTGTGTGTGTGTGTGTGTGTGTGTGTGTGCGCGTGCATGTGTGTGTGTGTGCGTGCATGTGTGTGTGTGTGTGTTCAGAAGATATTCCTTCTCCCCATACTGTATGTGGAAATATGCTTGGAAACTACCAGAATATTTCCCAACATAAATTAGACCACAGCTGTCTGGCAAACAAACACACGCACACACAAACACGCACGTACACACATCCATGGTGGTGGCAAGATTTGTAGTTTTCTAAATAAAAGCATGGATGTGGCTCCCTCTAGTGGACCACACAGGAAACTACACCTACACTGATGTGTCCGTTTATTTCTTAACGCTTTATTATGAATTGTATTCTATGATACCATTATATTGACAATAATAGTTATGTATGCTTTCTTTGTAGTTGTACTGAGTTTATGTGTTTTAGTCTACAAAGGACGCCATAGACACTGACAACATATTTAACTAGTTTATTTTCATATCTATTTAAAATATAGTTTCTAAATGTAATTGACTTTGGTGTAAGTGTGTTTATTTGGTAGACAGACAGAGAGAGAGAGGAGAGAGAGAGAGAGGAGAGAGAGAGAGAGAGAGAGAGAGAGAGACAGACAGACAGACAGACAGACAGACAGACAGACAGACAGACAGACAGACAGACAGACAGACAGACAGACAGACAGACAGACAGACAGACAGACAGACAGACAGACAGACAGACAGACAGACAGACAGACAGACAGGACAGACACACACACGACAGACACACACACACACACACACACACACACACACACACACACACACACACACACACACACACACACACACACACACACACACACACACACACACACACACACACACACACACACACACACACACACACACACACACACACAGGTTTCATGTAACAGTGTCACCTCCAGCAGAGTCTTCTCCTCAGTGTACAGGCAGGATCTCTTCTGCTCTGCTCGTGGACCAGGTTTAGACATCAGAAAGAACCAGATTGGACTTCTTACTGAACTCGATTTCTTTATAAATGATGAGAGAGGAAGTGCTTTTCTTTTCTGGAGTTTAAACCGGACTGTCAGCTGAACAGGAGCCTCTGAACCGACACTGAACAGGTGAGTGAATGTCTCAGTCTGCTTCGTCATGTGATTACATTGAACATAATCATACAGCATGGCTGAGAGGGTTAATGTCTGCCATGTTTACCATCTCAGTCTAGCATCTTCATCTGAACATAATTAGCTCAGTCAGTCAGTATTGTCAATACTAAGTCATTACTGTATTTTGAGCTAAGTTACGTATTTGGAGATACTCAGGCATTATTCTGAGGTTTTTAGTCTTTATTTAAGGCAGTAAGACATTTTAAGTACAGTTCCCTGTTTGCAAATCTACACAGTACATTTTTAATAAACTAAAACATCATTTTTTAGAAAACGTATGATCTACAAAATATTTTTAAAACCACAAACCTGACTTGAGATATTAAGTAAGTAAAAAACAAGTTTGGTATATGCGTTTAGCAAATAAATACTTTAGTTTCTGCAAATGTTAGCATCCTGCCACGCTAAACCAAGATAGTTCCTTTATCACTTTATCACTTTATGTGTACCTTGTGTGAATCTTGTTTTTAACTCTGACCCTGTTGTATAAATAAAGTTCCATCTTATCTTATAGTAAACATGTACCTCATCTTTCATTTACATTCTTCTCGACATTCCATCTATGTTTTAAGATGAACGTGTGTCTCTTCCTCCCAGGTACCATGCAGTCTCTGACGGCAGAGATCCAGAGCTTCTCCCGCTCGAGGCTCAGGAAGCAGTGCACGCGCGTCACGTCTCTGAGCGGCCGCAGGATCATCGAGACGTGGAAGGGTTCCACCATCACCGTGGTGGAGGACCCCGTCCCAACAGAGAGGATTCTGGGATACGTCCCCGACACTTCCTGGGACCTTCAGGTCGGCATCGTCAAACCCCACCTGCTGCTGGGTGAGTCATTGATTGATTGATTGATTGAAAAGTTTATTAACAGCTTGTATATTGGGTACAGTACAGTACAGCTCAAAACATACAATTGTTAAGGGGATGCAGACCAGAGAAAGACTTTCGTCTTGTTTACATCAGGGTCCCCCATTTCCAATTCATCATGTCATTTAAGACATATAAGACATACAGATGGCTTATTTACAATTTACATACAGGTGGTTTTTTACATACAGATTGCTTATTTACAATTTTCATTTTAGATTTCGTTCTAATACATCCTAACCGGACATTTAAGACATACCAAGTCTACAGATATACAGTTAGTAACAGAGTCTAAAATGCGAGTATATACATAGATGGGGGGGGGGGGGAAGCTGTCCATTGAACGACAGGTTGAGATTTGTACCATTACCGGGGCCAGTTTTGCAATGCTCTCCCCCGAAGGTGCTCTTTAAGAGAGGTTTTGAAGGTAAGTATAGTTTTACTTTCCTTTACAGTTGTGGGAAGAGCGTTCCACCTTGATGTGGCATAATTGCGAAACGTGTATTCCCCCTTTTTTGTGCCAAATCTGGGTTTCACATGATTTGTGGAGCTCCCTCTGGTGTTATGATCATGGTATTCCTTGACCTTTGGGAAGAATTTTGACATGTACATGGGTACCATAGAGGTGTAGTGGATCTTGTAGACCAGGCCCATTGCAAGTAACTGTACTCTGTCGTCTACTCTAAGCCATCCTAGGTTGTCAAAGTGGGCAGAGGTGAGGTGGGTTCTAGATGAAAGGTCAAGCAGTAGTCTGACCAGTTTATTTTGCGATGTTTGAAGTTTTATTTTTAGCGCCTTGGAGGTGCTATGGTACCATGATGTGCAAGCATAGTCATAGTACCCTTGAATGAGTGCTCCTGCCAGAGTTTTCAGGGTGTTTTTGTTTACCAGAGAGGAGATCCGGTATAGGAATCTAGTTCTTTGATTGACTTTTTTTATTACATTGGATGCCATTTTGTCACAGGAGAGGTTTGCCTCAAGAATAGATCCTAGGTATGTAATTTCCTTCTTACTTGTGACAATAATGTCGCCCACTGCAACTGAGAAGTCGTCGGATTTGCTGAGATTATGTTTCGAACCGAAGAGAATGGACTCTGTTTTACCCAGGTGTAATGATAATTTATTATCGGCGAGCCAGGTGCAGATTCTGCCGAGCTCGGAGCTGAGGGTTTTTTCAACCTGCAACCTGTTCCTGTCAGAGACCAGCAGGGCTGAGTCGTCCGCGAACAGGAACAAGTTGCAGTCACATGCTGATGACATGTCATTTACATAAATTAGGAACAGTAACGGACCTAATATGCTTCCTTGTGGAACACCACAGCTCACTGGGAGGGGGGGGGGACAGAGTACCATTTACCTCCACCATCTGTTCTCTCCCCTCCAGGTAGGATTGCATCCAGCTCACCGATAGTTTATCAAAACCAATTGCTTTTAGCTTGTCAATCAGAATGGGGTGATTGACAGTGTCGAAAGCCTTTTGTAGGTCCAGCATCACCATGCCGCAGTACTTGCCCTCGTCCACCTCTTGTTTGATGTGGTCGCTCAAATAAAGAAGGCATGTGTCAGTGGAGTGGGATGTTCTAAAGCCAGATTGAAATTGGGAAACTAAATCATCACAAATAAGACTGTTAAACACCTTTAGTGTCCCCTGGTCTCCCAGCTGTGTGCGTCACTCTTTAGTGTCCCCTGGTCTCATGCGCGTCGCTTTTTAGTGTCCCCTGGTCTCCCAGCTGTGTGCGTCACTCTTTAGTGTCCCCTGGTCTCCCAGCTGTGTGCGTCTCTCTTTAGTGTCCCCTGGTCTCCCAACTGTGTGCGTCACTCTTTAGTGTCCCCTGGTCTCCCAGCTGTGTGCGTCACTCTTTAGTGTCCCCTGGTCTCCAGCTGTATGCGTCACTCTTTAGTGTCCCCTGGTCTCATGCGCGTCGCTTTTTAGTGTCCCCTGGTCTCGCAGCTGTGTGCGTTGCTTTTTAGTGTCCCCTGGTCTTCCAGCTGTGTGCGTCTCTCTTTAGTGTCCCCTGGTCTCCCAGCTGTGTGCGGCTCTCTTTAGTGTCCCCTGGTCTCCCAGCTGTGTGCATCGCTTTTTAGTGTCCCCTGGTCTCCCAGCTGTGTGCGTCACTCTTTAGTGTCCCCTGGTCTCCCAGCTGTGTGCGTCTCTCTTTAGTGTCCCCTGGTCTCCCAGCTGTGTGCGTCACTCTTTAGTGTCCCCTGGTCTCCCAGCTGTGTGCGTCACTCTTTAGTGTCCCCTTGGTGTCCCAGCTGTGTGTGTCACTCTTTAGTGTCCCCTGGACTCCCAGCTGTGTGCGTCACTCTTTAGTGTCCCCTGGTTTCCCAGCTATGCGCGTCGCTTTTTAGTGTCCCCTGGTCTCCCAGCTGTGTGCGTCGCTTTTTAGTGTCCCCTAGTCTCCCAGCTGTGTGTGTCACTCTTTAGTGTCCCCTGGTCTCCCGGCTGTGTGCGTCACTCTTTAGTGTCCCAAGGTGTCCCAGCTGTGTGTGTCACTCTTTAGTGTCCCCTGGACTCCCAGCTGTGTGCGTCACTCTTTAGTGTCCCCTGGTCTCCCAGCTGTGTACGTCGCTCTTTAGTGTCCCCTGGACTCCCAGCTGTGTACGTCGCTCTTTAGTGTCCCCTGGTCTCCAGCTGTGTGTGTCTCTCTTTAGTGTCCCCTGGTCTCCAGCTGTGTGCGTCACTCTTTACTGTCCCCTGGTGTCCAGCTGTGTGCGTCACTCTTTAGTGTCCCCTGGTCTCCAGCTGTGTGCGTCACTCTTTACTGTCCCCTGGTGTCTAGCTGTGTGCGTCACTCTTTAGTGTCCCCTGGTCTCCAGCTGTGTGCGTCACTCTTTACTGTCCCCTGGTGTCCAGCTGTATGTGTCACTCCTTAGTGTCCCCTGGTCTCCTAGCTGTGTGCGTCACTCTTTAGTGTCCCCTGGTCTCCCAGCTGTGCGCGTCACTCTTTAGTGTCCCCTGGTCTCCAGCTGTGTGTGTCACTCTTTAGAGTCCCCTGGTCTCCAGCTGTGTGCGTCACTCTTTAGTGTCCCCTGGTCTCCAGCTGTGTGTGTCACTCTTTAGTGTCCCCTGGTCTCCAGCTGTGTGTGTCACTCTTTAGTGTCCCCTGGTCTCCCAGCTGTGCGCGTCACTCTTTAGTGTCCCCTGGTCTCCAGCTGTGTGTGTCACTCTTTAGTGTCCCCTGGTCTCCCAGCTGTGCGCGTCACTCTTTAGTGTCCCCTGGTCTCCAGCTGTGTGCGTCACTCTTTAGTGTCCCCTGGTCTCCCAGCTGTGTGCGTCACTCTTTAGTGTCCCCTGGTTTCCAGCTGTGTGTGTCACTCTTTAGTGTCCCCTGGTCTCCCAGCTGTGCGCGTCACTCTTTAGTGTCCCCTGGTCTCCCAGCTGTGTGCGTCACTCTTTAGTGTCCCCTGGTCTCCAGCTGTGCGCGTCACTCTTTAGTGTCCCCTGGTTTCCAGCTGTGTGTGTCACTCTTTAGTGTCCCCTGGTCTCCCAGCTGTGTGCATCACTCTTTAGTGTCCCCTGGTCTCCCAGCTGTGTGCGTCACTCTTTAGTGTCCCCTGGTCTCCAGCTAGGTGCGTCACTCTTTAGTGTCCTCTGGTCTCCAGCTGCGTGCGTCACTCTTTAGTGTCCCCTGGTCTCCCAGCTGTATGCGTCACTCTTTAGTGTCCCCTGGTCTCCAGTTGTGTGCTACACTCTTTAGTGTCCCCTGGTCTCCCAGCTGTGTGCGTCACTCTTTAGTGTCCCCTGGTCTCCAGTTGTGTGCTACACTCTTTAGTGTCCCCTGGTCTCCCAGCTGTGTGCGTCACTCTTTAGTGTCCCCTGGTCTCCAAGCTGTGTGTGTCACTCTTTAGTGTCCCCTGGTCTCCCAGCTGTGGGCGTCACTCTTTAGTGTCCCCTGGTCTCCCAGCTGTGTGCGTCACTCTTTAGTGTCCCCTGGTCTCCAGCTGCGTGCGTCACTCTTTAGTGTCCCCTGGTCTCCCAGCTGTATGCGTCACTCTTTAGTGTCCCCTGGTCTCCAGTTGTGTGCTACACTCTTTAGTGTCCCCTGGTCTCCCAGCTGTGTGCGTCACTCTTTAGTGTCCCCTGGTCTCCAGTTGTGTGCTACACTCTTTAGTGTCCCCTGGTCTCCCAGCTGTGTGCGTCACTCTTTAGTGTCCCCTGGTCTCCCAGCTGTGTGCGTCACTCTTTAGTGTCCCCTGGTCTCCCAGCTGTGGGCGTCACTCTTTAGTGTCCCCTGGTCTCCCAGCTGTGTGCGTCACTCTTTAGTGTCCCCTGGTCTCCAGCTGTGTGCGTCACTCTTTAGTGTCCCCTGGTCTCCAGCTGTGTGCGTCACTCTTTAGTGTCCCCTGGTCTCCAGCTGTGTGCGTCACTCTTTAGTGTCCCCTGGTCTCCAGCTGTGCGCGTCACTCTTTAGTGTCCCCTGGTCTCCCAGCTGTGGGCGTCACTCTTTAGTGTCCCCTGGTCTCCAGCTGTGTGCGTCACTCTTTAGTGTCCCCTGGTCTCCCAGCTGTGGGCGTCACTCTTTAGTGTCCCCTGGTCTCCAGCTGTGGGCGTCACTCTTTAGTGTCCCCTGGTCTCCCAGCTGTGTGCGTCACTCTTTAGTGTCCCCTGGTCTCCAGCTGTGTGCATCACTCTTTAGTGTCCCCTGGTCTCCCAGCTGTGTGCGTCACTCTTTAGTGTCCCCTGGTGTCCAGCTGTGTGCATCACTCTTTAGTGTCCCCTGGTCTCCCAGCTGTGGGCGTCACTCTTTAATGTCCCCTGGTCTCCCAGCTGTGTGCGTCACTCTTTAGTGTCCCCTGGTCTCCAGCTGTGTGCATCACTCTTTAGTGTCCCCTGGTCTCCCAGCTGTGTGCGTCACTCTTTAGTGTCCCCTGGTCTCCGTTGTGTTTTGAGCTTCTTGCAGAGTTTGGTTTCAGCTTTCAGTAAACGCTGCATGTCAAGTTGCTGGAGATGTTTCTTCATGAGGAACCTTTGGGTTTCTATATCTGCATCCTTTCTGAAGCGGCAGCGCGTTTCTCCTGATGGAGGAGTGTTGGGCCGTTTGCACCTGTTGGCCTCTGTGGTATTTAATTGTCAATTCTTGATTCAAACTATTTCCTGGCTTAAAATTGGGTTCTTAAATCTTAAATCTCTAAAGGAGCTTATTAATAAAAAGAGAATAAAGTATGGGTCCACCTCCCCCCTGCTGCCCTGTAAGTCCCCCCTCAGTTCACCAACACTAACACCAGCCTCACCTCAGAGCAGGTAACATGACCTCCCACCCGGGGGGAGGACAGGTGGCAGGTGACCCGTCAGGTCTCAGGTGGAGGTGAGTGACCCTCTGACCTGAAGCAGAGGATTTCCTGTTCAGGGTCACTTTCTAGTGCACGGCTACAAAGAAAACAAAATAACTAACGATTACACTGTGTGTGTGTGTTTGGTGTGTGTGTGTGTGTTTGGTGTGTGTGTGTATGTGTGTGTATGTGTTGGTGTGTGTGAGTGTGTGTGAGTGTGTTGGTGTGTGTGTGTGTTTGGTGTGTGTTGTGTATGTGTGTGTATGTGTGTGTGTGTATGTGTGTGTGTGTGTTGGTGTGTGTGAGTGTGTGTGAGTGTGTATGTGTGTGTGTGTGTTGGTGTGTGTATGTGTGTTTGTGTGTATGTGTGTGTGTGTGTGTGTGTGTGTGTGTGCACAGGTTCTCAAGATGCTGCACATGACTTTGGAACTCTCAGAAAACACAAGGTGAAATCCGTCTACATTCTAGACACAAATAAATGTGTCTATGTGTTGTACATGACTGTGTCTTAGTCAACCCAGTCTCACGGCATTTCGTGTTCACCAACACGATTTTTAATCTATTGATTCGTGTTCACCAACACGATTTGCCCCTTTTTTTCGTGTTGCACAGCACGATTTTAAAAGCAATGTATTTCTACTGCCTGCAGCACGTCTTTTTCTCCGGTCGGGTCGAGGGAGACCTGAAGCTGTGTGGTTCATAAAAACATGCTCTTACTCAATATCAAGCCACAGTTATTGCTTTTATTTGAAATAGAATAATCTCGGACTTTTGTTTCCGTCTGTGAGGAAAATAAATGGGGCTCAGAGCCTCAGGATACTGAAATCTGTATTTTTAAATATTTTGTTCCTTCTAATTCGATATTCTTTTCAAAATAACACACTGTTATTTACTCACCAATAATACACAATTATCCTTGCTTTTATTTATTGGTTTAATTCCATAATCTCGGGCTTTTTTGGCGTCCGTCAGGAACTGAATTTCAAAATAAAAATAACCGGAAACAGACGTAGGCCTATAAGGGACATTTCGAGCATCATTGCGATTGTCAACATTTCTGAGTTTAGGATGGCCGAAGACACTACACTACCCATAATCCCCAGCTATCGTTTAGGACTACAGTCCCCGTAAGGTTACGCAGAGCGTCAAACAGCTGTGTGAAATAGAACGAAACCATGCCAGACGATCCAAAACTGGAATCGAACGCCCCCCCAGAAATACACATGCTGGCTATTGTGTTTCGCAAAATGTTCTATGGGACGTCTCTACTGAACGTTTTCGTTTTTCCCACAATTAGAAGTTGCCAGTATTAAACACATTGGTGTTATCAAATGTAAAACATATAATTAATACATGGGTGAAAATCGCTTGTGTCCATAATGCGCAGCATTAATACCCACATGACAGCTCATTGTTACTTTGTAATTCTACTCCACTACAATTCAGAGGTTGACCTGGTATTTTTACTCCACTGCATTTATTTGAGTTACTTTGCAGATTCTGATTAATTATGTGAAATATAAACAACCCTTAAATCAGACTTTAGTTACACCTGAGTAAAATTCAGGTTAGGTGATTATCAAGTGCCAACAATCAGGAGAGATATTTGATAGTTGGTGCTTGAGAAGACTAAACATGTATCTGCAATTGACATGAATGGAAACGAGTAATACAGTATATTCATTACTCCTTATTCTCTACTAATAGTTAATTAAAGACTGTATATTATGGCTATTTTGCACATCCCTTTCAAGATTTTCAAAGGTGTATTGACATATCATATACACAACTACGGTGTAGTTATGCAATGAATGAAACACTTGGGTCACAGGTTCCTCAACAGTGCATTACAAGACATCTATCAATATGTGTGTACCTCCACCATTAAACTGTCATATTCTGCACATTTCTTATTCTATCTACATAAGAGTATAATTAATGTGTATAATATCAGTTAAAATAAGTGCTTCAACATAGTTAACATTGCAGGAAAGCAATATATTAGACGTTAAGTACTTTGTCAGGCTTAATATTTATCTGTAGATAGATACCCCCAAAGTTTTTTTCTTATTTAAAAGAAGACCTTAATCTGTTATTTAATGTTTAAATAAAGGTTCATTCGTTTTTCTGTTTTGCACCTCCTCCTATCTTTGTACATTCTGCACTAAACTGTTTTATTGTAGAGATCACTTATAGTATCTTCTTGATTTTTTATATTCTATATTTATACTTTCCCCCTATGAAAGTATGTAGGCCTACTCTTAATATGTTTTTAATCAAATAAAACACAATAATTCAATAACGTGCTTTAACCACTAGGAGGTGCACACAAGGTACACACAGCCATAATAACTTTGTATTATTAGTGTAGGACACTTATGTTTTCGTACAACATCTGAAGATGTGTAGTTTTATGCATGCTTTCACATCATTTTACAGCATATTGCTATACTATTTCAGACTCAGTATTTACATTCTTACATTCAAAGAAAATCAGTAATATCTTTAAAAACTACAGTCCTTTTATATCAGCTGTGCACCGTTATGGTGTAAATATAACCTATCTGTGAATTAGATCAAATGTAAAAGTCAGCCGAATTAGTGTTGATACTGCAAGGAGACGTATTGTGTGAAGAGAAATTGAAGATGTTGTTTAATTGTTGAATATATTTATGATCCACGTCTAGTATTCAGTTTCGGCGGCATTTTCTCAGTTTTTCCAAAGGTCTTCTCATCAGGGCTCTATAAATAAAGAACTACGGCAGATCTGTAATATACAATGCAGCCGAACCGTGTATTACAATGCCGTTATGTGATGACTTTCAAAGAGAAAAGCAAGAGCGCTCGGAATTAAGTATTATTTTATTCTTTTAAAATGTTTTCCGGATTTCATATCATATAAACACCAAATCCCAGCATGCATTGCGGCTAAAACATCCAATAAACGAGCTTAAAACCATAGCTGAGGATCTTGGGTAATCGCTCGAAATGTCTACGTCTGTTTCGGTTATTTTTATTTTGAAATTCAGTTCCTGACGGACGCCAAAAAAGCCCGAGATTATGGAATTAAACCAATAAATAAAAGCAAGGATAATTGTGTGTTATTGGTGAGTAAATAACAGTGTGTTATTTTGAAAATAATAACAAATTAGAAGGAAAAAAAGATTTTAAAAATACAGATTTCAGTATCCTGAGGCTCTGAGCCCCATTTATTTTCCTCACAGACGGCAACAAAAGTCCGAAATTATACGATTTCAAATAAAAGCAATAACTGTGGCTTGATATTGAGTAAGAACATGTTTTTATGAACCACACAGCTTCCGGTCTTCCTCGACCCGACCGGAGAAAAAGACGTGCTGCAGGCAGTAGAAATACATTGCTTTTAAAATCGTGCTGTGCAACACGAAAAAAAGGGGCAAATCGTGTTGGTGAACACGAATCAATAGATTAAAAATCGTGTTGGTGAACACGAAATGCCGTGAGACTGGGTTGGTCTTAGTATATGTGTTTAAAGCATGTAAGCAGCTCTTCCTCCTTCCTCTTCTTGCTTATCTTTCTTACAGTGCAGACGCTTTTCTGCTTGCTCCTGCCTCTGCTTACTTTTTATGCTGATTTTCCTATTCTTATTCTCTGAAAACTTCGAGCAGCGGCTCCTGGACATTAACTTATCACTGGGACAGTTCATCTTCGTAAATAGACGGAGGGTTTCAGCCATATTTCAACATTTTTACGATGACGTCAGTCTTACAATAGCGTGGCCTAGCAACAGCTAAAGCCTGGTAGGCTACTGCTATTTAGCTAGTTGGTAGCAAAATGCCTCCGTTCTCTACAGATGACTTCCAGAAACTTATACAGAAGATGGTGTAATGGAAACTTCTGTGTCGCTATGCATGGAGTCACCGACTCAGGAAGGAGACACGGGAAGAGCAGTAGCTTTGATGTCAAACACATGATGGTTTATTTGGAGTTAACGGCCGGAGGATTCACATCACAAGTCCAAGAGTCAGAGGTTCTGACTTCACGGTAGAGTTGCCACGTCAATTCTGGAGAGCCTCTCTCTTGCCAGCCCATCTAACTGGTTTCGCAGAGAGTAAACAACATATTTGAGGAGATAGCCTAAACAGTGTGGGAACACAGAGCTACTTGCCTCGGACACTTATGACCTCGAAGATTTTACCTTGGAGTCCACAAATACAGAGAAGGAAGTGTCCCAGTGTACCCACAACACAGACCATCTGTATCCCAGTATTGACCGGTCACAGAATGGGAACAATAACATTATTGGCTAAGCCGCCTGTGTCCTTAAAGAAGGTAAACAGACATCGAGGTTTGTCCTGTATGTTACTAATTGGCGTCTTATGATAATTATTTCCCTAACAGTCCTCTCTTTTTATCATTTATGATAACCTAAAAACATTAGTCTAATAATAATTTGGTCAATAATTAACTCAATAGGCGTCTCCAGATTCGAGTGTGGTCTCACCTTACATCAATTATATCACAAAGTGGAATAAGATTGAAACATTCAATCACAATGATTGATACAGCCAATCATAATAGGAAAAATCATCTCTCATCAGTGTTTGATCATCTTTTGTCAAAAGCATAATAATGAACACACATAAAACACAGGTGCACAATGGCTAAATATTTGTTTTTAAACTAATATATTTGATCATTTACCATTAGTTAATTTCATTCATAAAACTATAAAATCAAAACCAGTTTGCCGCTTTAAAGATTTACTTCAAAGCAATCACTAGTCAAAAGCATTTTAAAACTCAGGATCGTAAGAGATCCAGCTAAACATTCACAGTTAGAGTATAGAATTCACAATGGTGATTTGATCAATCTGTAATCTGCAAAAGTGCAGTGTCCTCAATTTTAGGATTACTTTTACGTTTACTTAAATACGCTTTAGTCAAGAGTAAGGCACTTAGTGAAATCAATACATTCATTTTAGTCAAGTACATTGTTCAAAATCTGAAAAGGAAAAGTTAGGCAAATATTCAAAGACTTTTGTAAAAACCTGGAAAGGAAGGATTAAACATTCTTAAAATGTGAATTATTACATTTGTAAATGCTACCACTGATCTGTACCAAATTAAGTCTATCAAGTATTCCTATTAGCCATACTTACCTGAGCTACTTATGGTACTTGGAAAGGATTCTTCTGTGTTTATCTAATGTTGAGAATATCAATTTCTTTAAATTATACTTCTCTAATTTGAGGATCAAATATGCTACATAATTGTTATATGAAATATTATAAATATTTGTTTTGGGCCAAAACTGAAATGAATCCAGTACTTGAAACATCATTGTAGGTCTTTCTATGCATGGATAATACATTAAAGAGTAGTGTTGTTAAGCCTGATTGCTGGATTCAAATCCACTAGAGTGCATGTACCTATCCAGAGGGGAGCCAGAACTTGATAGAGCTTGT